ATTTGGTGTCTGGACCTCTTTCTTGATGGTACCTCAGCTGACCTGGGCCACCTTGGGAGCTGGGTGATATGCTCTTTGACAACTCAGCTGAAAGGCTGCAGATGAGCGGACGCCGCATGCAGATGAGCGGATGCGACATGCAGATGAGCGGATGCGACATGCAGATGAGCGACGCGGCATGCAGATGAGCGACACAGTAAAGGGGCAGGGTCTTGGTTTGCCCCTGAGGGCAGCCTCCTGTCTCAGGGAAGAAAAAGGACTGTTCCGTAGACTTAGTAAGGGAGTCCATCAGCTGGGGTTCTGATCCATATAATAAGTGGCCTCTGAGACATTTAGCAACGGGGACACTGGAATCTGAGAATTCAGAGGTGTCCCAGCCACTCCTGAGCAACTATCCTGGAGCGGTGTCCCTCCAAAGGCTTCACACATCCGTAGGAGAAACATCTCTGTAACAAATCACAGGTTTTCCTACCTGTTTCCCGATCCAGGATGGGATGCAGGCTGGGTGTGCGCACAGGGATCCAGAGCAGGCCTGGCTCCTGGGGAAGGAGGAAGCTCTTTCCAACAGGGCATTACGGGGCAGCCGGGCCTGGGCTCAGATCCCAGCTCCCTCTCACCAGCGTCACGGCAGCGGTCACCTTGACTCTGACTCTCAGACCTGGAGCATCTTGACTGACCTACAGCCAATCCTCAGTAAATGTCTCTGTCACCTGGTGCTCTCACACGTAGCAGCCCAGCTGTCCAGCTCCCGCCCGGTACTGGCCTGGGAGGCCTCCACCTCCCCGGGGAGCCGCTATCGAGGACACCACTGTCCTTCAAATGTTTTTAATACTTTTTATCTGCCCTGGCCAGTGGCTCAGTGGTTAGAGCATCGGCCCACAGACCGGAGAGACCCGGGTTTGGTTCCCACTAAGGGCACGTACCTCGGTTGCAGGTTGTCCCCCACCCCGGTTGTGTCTCTCACATCGATGTTTCTCTCTCTCTCTTCCTCCCTTTCTCCCTCCCGCTCTATCAGAAGATGAATGCAAAAATGTCCTCGGGTGAGGATAAAAAAAACAAAAAACAAACTTTTTATTTGATTATAACAACTGGACTGACTATTCAATGCTTTCTTTTCAAATTTTAGAAAATTTGAAAAACCTAGAAAAGGGAATTTTAAAAAATTCATTGGCAAACAGCATGAGACAATCAGCACGGTTAGCACTTCCCGTCTGTGGGCGCTGTGGGCACCCACGTGCTATACAGGACTCGTGTCACCCAGCTCGGGGGTGTCCAGCTCCTCTTTGCACTGACATGCGGCCATTGCTCATGTCCCGCGTGGTGCCTGAGAACGTGTCAGCGGTCACCAACTTCCGTAAGGACGCGATGTGCGTGACCATTTCCTTACTATTGGCCACTTAGATTGTGTCCAACTTTCCGACGTTATAAATGAAACAGCAGTAAAAAGCTCTGCAGGAAAATCTTGGCCACATTCTGATGACTTCTTTGAGGTAGATTCCCAGCAACAGAAGTCGCGGACGGAAGAGTGTGAGGGTCGGTAAAGGTCTCGATGTTGAGGGCGCTGTGCGCACTGCCATGCTGGCATCTCCTCCATCGGACACTTCGTTCCGCTCACATTCCGGGCCCAAAGCCACCCTTACATCTGGCTGGTAAGAACCCATTGCCCCAGCAGCTTACAGTCCAGTGAGGCCCACAGAAAACAGGCCTGGGCCTCAGGGCTGTTCCCACACCACGTTGCCCAGGGAGCTCCCCTGGGGGTCCGGCCGCCCTGTCCCGCACAGAGGTCAGGAGAAGGCCGTGGGCTGTTGAGCCCTGGGCTGCCTGGCGCCACCCTGGCGGGCAGTGCACTTACCAGTGTCCTCAGAAGTACCTGGGACCTGGGCTTGAAACAACACTGGTGAAGAGTGCGGCTGACCCCTCAGAGAGGGCTCTCGAGTGACGCTGGACAATTCCCCCAGAAGGGGAGGGCCACTGACCCCCCCAGAGGCAGACCCTGAGGCTTTGCCAAGGCTCTGGCTCGCTTGGCCTCTCCTCGTCCTCTTTTCCAATCAGATAGAAGCCGATTCCTCTGAGACACTGGCACTTAACTCGGTTCCACAGGCGGGTCTGAGGCCCACCCCACCCTCCCAGCCCCAGCTCTGACCTCAACCGTGAGGAGCTTCAGGCAAAGGTGTTTAGCCAAACTGGTCCCATTACATCTGTCCCCACAATAGCCGCCCCTCAGTCGCCCCCAGGCCCAGGCATGTGCACAGGAGCATGGTCATGGTCCAGGTGGGGAGGGCGCGCCCACTGGGCTTGTCCCCGTGGTCCTCCAGACTCCTCATCTCACGGGGACAGTCATGGCTGAGCAGACCAGAGTAAGGCCCTCAAAGTCACAGGGTCTAGAGTAGGGACCCTGGTTGCCCCAGGGTCTGGGTGATATTACTCTCGGGCAAACTGCATCCGACCAGCCTGCCTGTCCGCAGGTCTCCACGCTTCTGTGTGTGCAGGGAGTCTGGGAAGAGGAAGTGCACGGTGTAGACAGAACACCCGAATGAAAGGGGTCGGTCCACGTCTAAGGTGCTCTGCTGTGCGCACAGAGAAGACACGCCAGGAGCACGGAGAGATGCTGGGACGGTGGGGAGAGCACTGGCCAGGGTCAGGAAGCTGGAGCGCCCCCTGGACCTGGCCACCGAACGCTCTGACCACAGGCCCCCGGCATTTGGGGCCGAGGTCGGGGTCCCAGGCACGGCAGACCACGTCCCAGGTGGCCCTCGGCCCTCGGAAACGAAAGCTCTGGATGTGTGGTCCTTGCGCACTGCTCTGCACTGCTGTTTCCCGCCACGCCCCAGTCTTCAGGGCCACCTGCCCCCCCACAGTCATTCAGTGTTTGGTTCCTATGAGTGGGGATAGCACAACTCTTATTTAATTCAGATCAGTTCAATTCCATCCCATTCAACTCTCCCCCATCAACTACATCTCTGTCTTTTTCACAACCATAATTTGTGGTTTTGAAGGAGATAAAGCAGAAAACATAAACATGCATTAAAAATACCCATCTAGAAAAAAAATACCTCCTCTGCCTTCTACTTCATATTTGCAAAATGCCTTCACATAAAGTATTTCATTACAGACTCAAGCAGCTGGCGTCATGAAATATGGGCTCCGACGTAGAATCCAGTGAAAAGCAAATGAGGACAGAGGGAGGAGCCAGCAGCTCCGGCAGGACGGCGCCCCGCCTGGGGCCTGGGCGGGGACGTGGGGCACCCGCCAGTGGCCACACCTCAGGTACGTGTTTGGAAATGTTTCCTCTTACTTCTTCTGGAATTCGCCTTCATTTTGTAGTTTCCTCTCCTGTTTATGTATTTCTCGGAATCCTGAAATCCCAGAGCTGGAAGAAGCTCCAGGAGTCATCACTTAGCCCAGCGGAGCTCAGTGGGGTCCCTGGGTTGGCAGCATCAGCCCCATCAGGGAACTTGTTGGAGACTCGGTCTCGGGCCCCACTCAGACCTGCTGGGCCCCAGACGGGGTGTGTGTGTGTGTGTGTGTGTGTGTGTGTGTGTGTGCACGCGTGTGCGGGCAAGGGGGCAGCCAGCTGTATTTCATAAGCCTTTGGGGTGATGATCTGAAACCACCCAAGCTTGAGACCACTGGTCTGGGCCAACTCCCCAGTTTCAGACTGAGGCCTCCCTCTTTGTCTCACATGCAGGCAGCTGCACAGCCTCAGTTAGAAGCCAGTTTCCAGACTCCGCCTGCACCCCTTCTCCTGCCCCACACCCCTTTGCCAGTCTCTGGGCCGGCTCCTCGCGCAGTGGTTCTGCTGGCCCGTGTCCCGCTCCACAGCCGAGTGCACAGAGGTGAACGGGGCGGCGGCCCCCAAGCAGCACACACGCTGCTCCCAGCGAGGCCCGCGGGCTGCAGCCCGGGGATCTGACGGTGCAGGGCTTTGGAAGTCACGGCTTCTGAGGACACCTGACCCTGACAGTCAGAATGCACCCCACTGCCCTGTGCCTCCTGCAATCCTCTTCCTCCAGGACACCCCTGTGACAGATTTGGCACAGAGTCCCCCCTCCCTCCCCGCAGGACTCTGGGTTATGGCTGGCTTGTTATCTTGCCTTATAGGAGCTGGGCAGACCTTCCCTTTTAAATTCCTGCCCAAACATGGACTCCAAAAGATGATGGGAGTACCTTGATCCTGGACAGCAGTGTTCTTGGGGCGGTTTGGAAACAATAAAATGTATTTATCACAGGTTAACACAGGGCATGAGATAGGTGGCTGTTTACTGAGTAGCTACAGTGCGCAGGCTGGACATTAGGCCCTTCGGGGATCCCGGTCAGTGCAGCACAGGCCCCCACAGGCCGCCTCCTCCTGCGCCATGCCCTGCGTTTCTCCTCTCCGCTCTCCGTCCCCACCGCTGGGCCCGTGGTCCCTACGTTTACCTGCGGGTGTGGGAGGAGCTTCCTGACTTGTCAGAACCAGGGAGGCAAGGTCACCTGCTAAAGGGAAGGCCAGTGTGGACTCCACGTGCAGAACACGGCAGGGGTTTTGAACTGCTCGGGTGGGAAGTGTACTCAGAATGGACACGAGAAGATTGAAACTTGGCTGAAGAGAGGGTCTACGGGCATGTGGGGCCCTTCGGCATGGCCCGGGGTTTTGCCAGAGGATGTGACAGCTCTTTGAGAGGCAGTGGCCCCGCGAGGTCGGTGAGAATGGGGGAGGGGCAGGCTGGAGGAGACTGGAGCCCAGAGGATGGGCCATGGGGGGCCCAGAGCAGCCGGGAGCATGGTGAGTACGGAGTGGGGGTGGGTGGCTGTCACAGGGCCGGGGAGGAGGAAACATGGCGGCCAGAGAGGGGCTCCCCGCTGTGAGCATGTTGGCAGTCACCCCGGGATGACAGCTGGTCAGAAACAATGGTTGTAGGATGATGGTCGTTGAACCCAGGCCCCCTGATAAGCACCTGACACGTGTTCTCTCATTTCTCCCGCACAACAAACTTTCTGGCACCTGTGAGGTCCGGTGCCCCCAAGGTCCTTTCTTGTTCCCATTGTCATCGAGTCCATGGCACCGCACCTTGGGAGGCAGATGCGGACATTAAGGAAAAGAAATATTCCGTGGCTCACCCGGGACGGACAGCGAGCAGGGAGCTGAGCGGGCCCGTGTCCAGGTGCCCCGGGAAAGCCACAGGGCTTCTAACAAGTCTCACCTGGTTCTTCCGCTCAGAGAGGCTGGTGAGGGTGGCAGCCAGGACAACCCCAGGCAGGACGCCAAAGGGACCCAGACTTCCTGCTCCCTCGAAGCCTGAGCAGGGGAAAGAGAAGAAGGAAGCGAAGCTCGCACTGTCGGGGAACGCACCAGGCCCCCCGCCCCCCGGTTCTGCACCAGCTTCACGCCGGGCGTGCATTGTGGAGCGCTCCAGGCTCCAGGGTTTGTGCTCAAAGTCCATCCTGTTGGCTGGATGCCCGGATGAACCTTGTGCCTGTCTGTGGATAACAGCAGGCACCAAGAGGAACTCTCAGGCTGCTGTGAGGTCCAACGGAGAGAGATGCTGCCGGAGGGTCACTAAGCTCAATTTCAATGCTGATGACTCCTATTCATTCATTTGACAGGTACCTATGGTGCACCTGTCTTGCCATCATAGACACTGGGGCCAAAGCAATGATAAGTCAAGGGGAGCTCCCTATGACATTAAAGCATAGCCCATGACTCCAGCAGGTCATTCTTACTCTTAGAGGAGGGTCGCTCCTCCTCTTAGTCCTAACACACACCAGCCACAGCTCCTGCCCTTGGCCTTTGAGTGAGTTGGTCAGTAAACACTGCCTGGATGCTTCTACTGGGCAGATTTCACCTGGGGGACAGCAAGGGCCCACAAAAGGGGCTCATAGAGAGGCGGTTTTCTGCAGCTCAGGCCCTCCTGACATCGCCCCAGGGGCAAGGTCGAAGCCTCCCTGACTTTGCTGCTGGGACCCACAGACTTTGGGCTTCTTGAAGAAACCTTACATCGGGCCCTTGTAATAACACTTCCCACGACTTAAATGACCTCAGGTGCACAAATCTGGCAGGGGGAGTGGTTAAATGTTGCACAAGTTGGTAATTTCAAGCACGTAGAGGAGAGACTTTCCTGGCTGACATGATCTTACCTACTTCTCCATAATGGTTTGGAGTGTTTTAATGTTTAACCCGTGTTAGGCTTAGCTCCTCCTTGGTTTGGATCTTTCTTGTCCTCTGATTTTCCAAGAAGAATGTCCATTCTGGTCCCGCTCCTCCTTCTCAGGGCATCTGGATCACTTGCTGGGGTCCTGGGCAAAAACAGAGTGGAACTGAGTTAGAAGTTTGACTACATGCTGCCCACATGACCTTGAACAAGACACTGAACATCTTAAGCGTGAGTTTATACAATGTGAAATGGCAATGAAAATATTCACCCAGTCTAAGTTAGGCTCAGATGATCACCACCACCAACCCTCTTAGCCAAGTGAGCACTTACCTCTTGCAATGTGCTATGTGAGCACTTCATTGTATTGCCTCATCTAACCCTCACAACAGGTCCACGATGCAGACACTCTCAGTGCATTTACGGGTGAGGAAATGAATTGCAAATGCATAAATGACTTGCCCAGAGCAGGCGCACTGACTGCAGGGTCTGAGCTCTCAGCGTCTGCGGCTCTCCCCTAGGAAGCCGGTATCTCCTGACTCCCAATAGCTTGGGAGCCTTCTCTTCGTGTCTCACTGTTGTCTGCCCCTCACTTGGATGACTGGGGTCACCTTAGCTAATACTCGTCTGGTTCAGAGGAGTGAGGAGGTATCTCTTCCATGCACCGGCTCTCTCTCCCCAGCAAACTGTTCTCCTCTCCTGCTTCAAGATATCCCGTGGCCCACATCAACCTGGCTGATCCTGGCTCTTTGGGTATCAAATAGCTGGTGAGGGTCATGACTGGCCTGAGGACAGGAGACAGTGGCGTGGGGAATGAGCTCAGCGTGTGTACTTTCCCAGGGCATGGCGGGGAGAGGCAGTGACTCGGCTCCGGAAGTGCTGGTGGGTGGCCTGGCATCTTGGGAATGTGCTCGGCCGACCAGGGGATGTTTTTCCAGCCTCTCCTTCTCCTCCCTATTCCTGGGATGGTACTATTCCCAGGCGCAAAATAAGAAATCAGAGTCCGTTGTTTTCAGTGACGTTAGTGCCAATGTGATCACAGCAACGCTCTGTCTATGTGTTAGGATGCGCCTGAATTAACATGAGCTATTTGGTGTTGTCTAATGTATCCTCTGCGATTCTATGAGGGAATGGATTCTGAGAGGTCAAGAAACTCCCCAGGACTGTGTAGGTGGAAATGATGAAACCAGGGTCCAGACGCAGGGTCTACATTCTTATTTGCTATGTTGCTTCAATGATCCAGTGGAGCCGGCCAGGGCACTGTCCACCACAGAGTGTGCCACCGGCGCAGGCTCGTCCTTGCCTCTCGCGTCCGGAGCTCAGCTCTGTGCATGGTCCCATCACTGGGTGCTCGGCCTCTGTTTGTCCGTGTGCAGCACCTACGGTCACTACACTGACGCACACGTCTCACAGGGTCTTTGCCAGAATAAATCAAAAGAAGGTGATGAAAGACTTTCAACTCATCAGGCATCTATTGGGCTCCAACTATTTCCTGCTGCTAAATACAGCATGAAAGGTGACTCGGGTAGAGGCCTGACCTCCAGGGATTGCAGATTTTAGGGGACTAACAGCATGAACTTAGTAGCTCAAACCCAAGGCAGCATATCTTGAGTAGAGGTGGAAGAGAAAATTATTCCAATACTGCAAAAGTTTGGAGGAGGTGGCCTTGGAAGGCCGTTGGACACAAGGATGGTGAGGTCTTCGCATAGCCAATAAGAGAATAACGAGCACAGACAGAAGCACGAACGAGTAGTGTGTACACGAGCACATGCACCCGTCTTTCTGGCTGGGGGCTGCATGGCGTGAGTAGTGGCCAATCCACGAAAGTTTTTGAGCCACTGAAGATTTCAACGTACATCCTCTAAGCAGTAAGAAGCTCCTGCCGACTTTGAACAGGGGAGTGGCATGAGACCAGCTATTTGGGGTTGCACCACAGGGGCTGGGAGAGCCCGAGGCTGAGAGGTGGGTGGTGGGGCTTTGCAATAATCCAGCAGGAAGTGCCTGAGCCAGGGCAGTCTCAGAGGGGGTGGAGAGGACCGAGGGGTACTAGAGACATTGGGAAAGGAGAACGGACAAAGCCGGGCCAGGGAGGAGGAGGGGGGATTTCTCTGTAGTATCGGCCCTCTCAGCCCTGCTGCTCACGCCCAGCTCCCCCACGCGCTGGGAGGAAGCGGGGAGCAGGGCCACGATGCTGCTGTCTATCTGCTGCCTTGTAACTGTGCTCAGAGCCAGAGTCCCGTCCTTTCTTTGCTTTACTGCACATGGCTGATTCTCCTTATAATGACTGTCATAGTCATAACTATAATAATTATGGAGGCAATAATAAGATCCTGGATGGATTGAGAGCCTTTCTTCTGAGGATGTTAATACGTGTAGGTGCGGGGGAAGGGGTCCTACCAGAAACAAGATTAGTTCCAGTTTGGTGGAAAAGAACTCTCCACTGTGCGGAGAGGACCCAGCGGTGAGGGAAGGGTATCTGGGCTTACTCCCCAAGGAAAACACCTTTCCCCCCTGTTAAGGGCAAAATACGTTCCTGCTCCTGGGTGGGCACCTCCTGGGTGCAGACTTGGTGGGAGCGATGGAGAAGGGCGGCAGAGCGTGTCTCCCCCCGTCTCTGAGAAGCACCCCTGAGGTCCGCAGTGCACGGTGACCCTCCGTTCCTGCTCAGGCTGACCTACTGTTGGTGGCACAGCTCGCCTTTCAAATCACACACGACACCGCGCAGCATTTACGAACTGCAAAGCCCCTTCGAATGCTGGATCTCGTTTACACCTCACGAGCACAGAGTGTTATCATCATTCCCACTTCACGTATGTATCCTGACATTTACGGAACCAGTCACTTGCTGATACCAGGTACTTAGAGATCAAGGGGCTGACGGAGACCCGAGCAGGATTCAAACGCGAGTCTTCTTTCTCCGAGGCATTGCTTCTGTTCCCTTTTCCATGCCGCGACTTTAATTTTTAACTGTGCGAACTACCACATTTTAACACTCTATTTTTGCGTCTTGGGTATTCATGTTGGTCTTCCCAAATATATGGAAAAATTTTATTTTAAAAATAAGGGACCTTGCCCTGCCTGGTTTGGCTCAGAAGTTAGAGTGTTGGCCGTGGACGGAAGGGCCTCAGGTTCCATTCTGGTCAAGGGCAAGTACCTGGATTGCAGGTTGGATCCCCAGCCCTGGTCAGGGTTGTGCGTGAGGTAACCAGCTAATGCGTCTCTCACACATCGATGCCTCTCTCTCTGTTTCTCTCTCCCCCTCCCTCCATCTGAAGATAAATGGAAAAATATCCTCTGGTGAGGATTTAAAATAAATAATAAAACATAAAGGACCTTGCTCTGACCGGTTTGGCTCAGAGGTTAGAGTGTCAGCACAAGGACCGAAGGGTCTCAGGTTCAGTTCTCATCAAGAGCATGGACCTGGGTTGCAGGTTCAATCCCCGGCCCCGGTCAGGGTTGTGTGGGAGGCAACCAATCGATGTGTCTCTCTCACACTGATGTTTCTCTCTCTCTTTCTTCCCTCCCTCTCTTCCATTCTCTCTTTATAAAGGGGGGACATATCCTCAGGTGAGGATTAAAAAAATGATAATGAATTAATGAATAAAGGACCTTACTATTAGTTTATTACTGTTATTACTGAAGCCTGTTTGTGGCAAGGAGTATGCCTTTTTATTTTGTATCCCCGATTACGCTTAGCTACATGGTTGGGCACACAAGAGTTGATCCATAAACGCTGCAAACTAACACTCCAGTGCTGGCTCCCTTCCTCTCCAACGCTGGTCTCTGCCCTCACCACCGGCAGTCTTTCGGGCGCTTTACTTCTGGCATTTGGAATCTTTCTTTTTAAATTACTTTGCAGCCAGTTTTTAAACGATGCCAAATATTTGGGGATACTATCAAAGTGCTCGTTATAAAGACAGGACAGTGAAGCTGGGTGCGGCCGGTGTAACATTCTAAGTCCCTTTCCCGTGGTCTGAGGGCCGGTTTTCATGCACGTGGGTTCTTTCAGAAGGACCGGGCGGGGCACAGGCGGCCCCCCCGCAGCTGCCCTGGCTCTGGCGCTCTCCGTGGGGAAGGAGACTCTCCATTGACTGGGCGCACGCTGCCACCAGCTGGTGGGATCCGCAGTCTCGGGTCTTCCACCTGAGCCGTCCTCTGGGGACCCGGTAAGTGTGGTGATGAGCACAGCTGCAGGCCCAGGTGCTCCTGCTGGGGAGTGAGAGGTGAGAGGGAAGGAAGACCTGGTGTCTTCTGGGCTCACACTCCGGGGTGTGTTGCGTCTGGCGGAGGAGATGGGCAATAAAGTCATGAATGCGGAGAGCAGACGGGTGTGGGCTGGCCATCACTCGGGGGCTGTGAGAGGAGAAGGCAGGACCGGCGCCTGGATGTTGGTGAGAAGAGCTCGCTGCGCCTGGACTGGGCCTGGAAAGCGACTCGCGCGAGCATGATTGAACTTGCAGCAGAGCGCAAAGGGGCACGAGGCCCCGCTGGGAAGGGGGTCGGGGCAAAGGCCTGGGGACTGGCAGCCTGGGCAGGTTTGGAGGCACCTCTGGTGGCTGGCTGCTGGGGGACCCATCTGCCTTCACGGATCCCAGCCTCCTAGATGCCTCTTCTCTGCAGAGTCTGCAGTCAAAGCAGCTGCTCACTGACCTAGCACACCCTCGAAGGCACTGGGCTCTGGTGGGTGGGTCACTGGCACGCTGGGGCAGTACACCCGCCCCGGGGCTGCTAAAGCAAAGGGAAAATGCATATATTCTGGTGACAGACGGTTTACAGGGGTGACTTCAAATCTGGCTTGCTCTCATACCAACCCCAGGCCAGGGGAACGTCAGGTTCACACTGGTTGATTGAGTCATGGTCCCCTCCCAAGAGTAAGGGACGCGTCAGCACCATCACCAGAAGACAAGGGCTGAGAGTTGGGAGGGAACGGTTCACTAGAAGAAAACCATCAGATGCTGTTATTCCAAAATCAGCGGCCACGGGTGCTTTCGGGACCCAGACCAGCGCGTTCCCTGTAGTGGTCCCTTAACATGTGCTCCCAGAAGAGTGTGGACTTTACCACTGCCTTGTCGCGCTGATTGGTTCAGGAAACTGTGGCCCACGCTTGAGGATTTTGAGGCTGTGACCTCACGTTGG